GGAGTTTTTGGGTGATTTTCGGGGGATTTCCATAGCTCCTTGTAGTTTACAGCGAGGGGAATCATTCTTCAATACATCTTAGGCGAGTAACATCTCGCCCAATCCTTCTCCTATGTTTTTAACAGTTTATAAACGTTTTTCATGTGTTTTATTGAGCCTAAGACTTATTTTCAAGTATAAATCAATGTTCTTATTAGTGTAAATGCTAGAAAGCATGTGTTTTAGATTTTTAAATCCCCACTAACGAGTTTTTGATGAAAACCCAGATCTGGGAATTTATTTAAAGAAATAAAAATATGAGTTTTATTTGTTTGATGAAAACCCAGATCTGGGAATTTATTTAAAGAAATAAAAATATGAGTTTTATTTGTTTAAATGCCCTCTTTCATGTTTAGGGGTTAAATGTTAGATCTTACATGCAAGTGTTCGTTTCTCATGCTAGATATGAATTCTTTTTCACTGTCTCATAGTTTAGAATTGATAGTTATTGAGGTGTAAATCAGTGTAGTGGAAGTATAGAATGAGATGACGAGTTGCAGTTGTGAAATATCCAGTTTTCAGCTCGTGAGTCGACTCAAGACTCATCATGAGTCGACTCATCAGGTTGAGTCGACCCATGACTATCATGAGTCGACTCACGAAGTCAATTTCTGTTATTCATAAGTGTCTGCTGAGTCGACTCGTCAGTTTATGAGTTGACCCATGAGTCATGAGTCGACTCATAGCTGATTATGAGTCGACTCATCGAAGTTTTTCCTATTTCGTTTGTGTTTCTGCTTGATCACCTACTGTGCTTATACTTTCATACAGTGTTTATATATAATCGAGGGTTCTGTTTATTATTTTTGAACATGAGAAGTTTCCTTGTTTATTGGGTATTAAATTGCAGTATTTATGATTTCATCTACACATGTAAGATGACTTTTCTGACACAAGCTTAGATCTGTATAGCGAGGCATGTACAAGAGTAGAATATGTATACCTTTACTATTAGTATTACATGGTTCATATACACAGTCCTCGTGTTGGACTATAATCCATTAAAGTCCTCATGTTGGACTATAATCCATTAAAGTTCTCGTATTGGACAATAATCCATTACAGTCTTATGTTGGATAATTGCTAAACCTTGAGTATGTTTCTTAACCGAGTTTGGAACACGACATATTACACGAGGCTAGGATATGATAGCTACCTAGGCTGGACATGACATTTATTGTAGCTTTGACATGTTTAAATTGTATCGGCAGAGATGTGTTTGTATTCTTTTCTTTATTGTTTTTTGTGTTAAACCTCGGGTTTAGTATTTAGAGATTTATAATTTGAGATACAAGGTATATACATGAGGGTTTCCTTGTTTGGATTATTTCACTCGACGTACCTATGCTCGTGTTGTAATTTCCTAAGTACTAAAACCCACTATGGTTAGTATAAATGATTTTTTATATTTTTATGTATTAACTCTATTTTCATATACAACGAGCCCTATCCCTTGAGGTTGGTTGTGATGTTGCTCACTAGCGCTTTGACGCTCGTTGTCCCCCCCCCCCTTCAGGTAACGAGCCCGGAGTCCGGAGAGTCACAGGTTGAGGGCGATTTTTATTAGCGCTCGTCTATCCTCTTATTAGATGTATTTCATTTTTTGTACTCCACTCGAGACATTTTTAGACTTGAGAGATTTATATTCTAGAGTTGTAAAGGCTGTGTGCCTTGTTTCATGTATCAGATGTTTTGTATTGTGAGACATGTTGAGATCTCCAGACTGTTATTATTCATTTCAGACATTGACTATGTATTCCAGCTTATTTGGTTGATGAGATGTATTAATCCGAAATCTATCATTTCATCATGTGTTTATTATAAAATCTTTTACTTGCTTTGTACCTACACCTGTTGTTGATTCCACTAGAGAGATAGTAATTGTGATGGTAAAACATGTTATTACACGGTATGGTGCATGGCAGGTTTGACATTCCTGGTTTTACCTCGGAGTGCAGCCTTGTGTGAACCCAGGGGCGTCACAACTAATTGTGCACCTAAGTGACCCCTAATTTAAAACCGAGTAAATAAATACCTTATAGTCTTTAAATATTGCATATAAATACCCTAAAGTTTTAAAATGTTGCAATTTTAATGCCCTCTTATTTACTTAATGCTGCATGTTGGTGCCCTATTATTTACCCAATGTTGTATATAAATACCCTCAGTTCGTAAGCTGATTGATGTGTGTGTGCTGACCGACGCGCACAAGCTGATTGACGCGCGCATGCTGACCGACGCGCGCGAGCTGATTGACGAGCTCATGCTGACCGACGTGCACGAGCTGATTGACGTGCGCGAACTGATTGACGCGCGCATGCTGACCGACGCGCGCGAGCTGATTGACGAGCGCGTGTTGACCGACGCGCACGAGCTGATTGACACGCGCGAGCTAATTGACGCGCACGTGTTGACCGACGCGCACGAACTGATTGAGTGAGCCTTCTTGACTCATCCACTCTTTGCTTTGAGTTGCATGCGGGAACTTATAGGCAGTTTTAGACGCCTATACTAAGTTTCAGAAAAAAGAGAGTTTCAAGATATTGTCTTTGTTCCCATCATTCTTAGAGATTGTTTAGGCAATATTCAGAGAGTCAAAAAGATTCATAAACCACTGTTACACGCACATCCACATCAAGGCTTATAGGATTGGATTTGTATTCTTGCTACAAGGAAGGTTTCTCTCGGTTTTGAGAGGGTTGTTCTCTTGGTCTAGAGATTGGTGTGCAATTGTCATAGTCTTGTCAATTGGGGTTGTAATTTGCATGGTCTTGTAAATTGGTCAGGTTTGCTTTTGATTTTGTAAGGTTTCAAAATCATAGTAGAAATCTCAAGCGGGATTTGCTTAGGGACTGGATGTACACAGGAGAGGTGGAACTACTATACATGCTTGTGTTTGTGATGTTCATTTTCTGAGATTGTTGTCATTCTTTCTTGCAATTTATAACACATCTTGCAAACTCTTTAAATAATACTAATCAATGCTCTCTAGTGTTTAATGTATGCTTCCGCAGATTCTATTCTTTAATAAGAGAGCGCAATCCTACAATTATCATAAGCGCGCGATCCTACACGCATAGTTCGTCGTTATTTATTAGTAGCTAGTTAGTGCTCCGCAGTAGACATTTATGATTTTATTTTCTTTATAGAGACGTATTTTATTTTGGAGGCTGAGTGCCTATACTTTTCAGTTGACTCTTTTGTATTAGAGATTCATTGTCTTTATTTCGGTTTATTAGATGTACTTTCTTTTCTTTTGTTGGAACATAATTATAAATGTTATTGGATCTTTTCTCTATATTCTGTTCCTTGTATTGTCATCTTTACTATATTTTCTTGTACCCTCACTTCTTGTATTTGATTCTACTAGGGAGATGTTACTGTGATGGTGAAACATATTGTTGCACAGTATTTGGTGCATGGCAGGTTTGACATCCTTGGGTTCATATTGGACTGCAGCCTTGTGTGAAACCAGGGCATCACAAAATAGAAGATCAAACAGGTCAACTAACGGCTAAGATTAAATCCTAAAAACTGCGAAATTTTATTATAATCATCGATGGTGGATCATGACCATGGATGGCCCCTTGGTGATCATCAATGGTTCGTTCAACTTTAGGCATCGATGGTGTTGATTCTAGTTTTTGGATTTCTTCGATATTCTCCTGTAACCATCGATGGTTCCCTATGACCATTGATGGGTCACTGTAGATGATCGATGGTACCAATTCCTATTTCTTTTTTCTCTGATTGGCTCATGTACCCATCGATGAGTTGCTCATCATCGATGGTTGTCTCTTAACCATTGATGGTTCGATGGCTAAAATCAACGTTCGTGTTGATTTTTGCATCATTTCGAACCGCATTTTGCTCGTACCAGTTTATACTTAAAATACATCATCTGACAAAATATATCAGTAGTAAATAAGAGTTTGTTATTATTCAAAAAAGAGATATTGTATGAATAACATTCTAACAATCTCGTACGAGCAACCTTCTAATAAAGAAACGTTCTAATAGAGAGACAAGGATCAAAGGCCAATGCTAGTATGGGGTGTGGATGAGGTATCTTATGATATCTTTTGGTGGCTGGATTGCATACATAAAGGCAAGAGGGGCCATCATAATCTGTCTCCCAAATGCTACGCTGGACCAGACCGTTGCAAAAGAGTCTTTTGACGAATAATCTATGATTAGGTGGCAATAAAGTACCTAAACCGTAGTTATGGAATCCTCCTCTTGATTACCAATGACCTGTGCGCTGACATACATTGGGTATTCAATACCCAATGAACCCATCAAGAGGTAGAAGAGGCCGGACATTGGAGAGGATAGCTCCTTGCGAATGTCGGTGATGATGGCGCTCCAAGCTTTAGAAGAGCAAGGGAAGCAGGAGAGAGATTTGATGGGCAGTCGTGAGAAAGTTTCAACCAACAGATAATCTGTAAGCATGTTTGCATTACTACGTACGATCCCGCAGCAGCTGATCTCCATTGCTTGGTTTGGGAATTGGTTGAGGCAGAGATCTGCTCTTTCTGTAACATTGACAGCAGCTTATATAGTAGAGATCGAGAATCCAAAACCTGTTCAGATTCCAACTCCACTTTGTCAGTGTGATAGTTTACTTGCCATACAAAATACAATTGTCAAATTAGGTTAGCCCCGTCTCTCTTCGTGCGGCATGTTAAATTTTTCGGTCTTAAACTAATTTGTTTCGAATTTTTCAACCCTGTTCAACTTAATCAGTAACCATCAGTTTCAAAATTTTGCTTTTATCATATAAGATTCTCAGCTTATCAGTGGCCATCAGGATGTTAAATCATATCTCACATAAGTCCTAATTAAATAAAACTAAACATCATTACAAAATTCGAAATACCAAAATTTAAGGAATCAAAGTCAAGATTGAAATCCATAAAGAATGGTGATGTCAAAACCTGTCAGCATATTGAGAAAGTATGTAAAGAATAGGAATCATCACTGTTATAGGAATTGAACTAACAACACACACCTGCTCTGACTTTGAAAGCCATCAATAATTTTGGAGAAATCTTAAACAAGAAATCAAATTCCGATAACAAGGAATTACATAAACCCTTTGGGCCTTCCTCCTCTATCCTCTTGTCATAAATATTTATCTCATATAACATCACCCCCTTTCCTTTCAGGACTCTATGTTGGGTGAAATCAGAATCCCTACAATATCGACACGCAAAATTAACCGCGTGGCTATTTTTTCTACGGTTGAACCCTACAACGCTAACTGAATCGAGAAAAAAAAGAAGGAAAAAAGAAAAAAAATACAAAGATAACAATCTAATACTTTACAGACAATTTCTGAATGACCTATTATCTAATTGCAGTTACTCAGAGTAGATGGCCCTGAAACGCCGGGCCCACCAAGGCCTTATCTCCCCATTCCCCGTGCACTGCTCACCCTTTTCATCCTCACTGCTGAATAAAGTTTGGTCGGAGCAATCTAATGCTGCTGCACATGCATCATTGTAGGATCGACAAGCAGAGTGACAGACCCGAAGTCTATTGTCTCCGTCTTTGTCACAACGTTGAATAGAGATCTGAAGCATATAAAAAAATTGATGAAGTTGTGAAATTACTTAAACATTGTAAACAAGTACACGAGTACCACTGAATATGCCAAAAGAATGAAGTCATCTCAGATAGAAGCACATCTTAAAACCTAAGTTGCATGGGTATGGGTACGGGTGTAAGTGTGGCTACTAGTATGGGAAACGGAAAATTTGTAAATGATTAGGGCACAGGGATGCGGCTTCAACACATGGGCTAAAATCATATTTATGAGCTGGATACACAAATGACCCTTCGGAATTGTAGTTTTTAACTGAATATGGGCTGAAACAAACCCGACTGTTGTCCAACAAGTTTCAAAGTGGATGCTACGAATAGGATATATGTCCAAGAAGTATATGACAAGTGTTTTCAAATAAAATATGTAATTGTATAATAGAGTACACATCTGAATAAATGTACGCATAAACAAGTCAAATAACATATTAGATTTGTGGAATTGTGGGTGTGATGTGATTTTCACAACTAAAACTAAAAATCAATGGCCAAGAGTGGCAGCCAATAACTCACAAGCTTTAGAGATGACTATAATATCTTTGAGAAAATTTTTAAGGTCATTCTCTAAGTTTTACTAAAATTATGTCTATATGCTTCGTTTTCGTTCTACTAATTCCAATTTTTTTTATAATCAAGAGCTTCATCCCTACTTGAGAAATTATCCCTTCCCTATTCTCATGAAGTAATACTATATCATCAGCAAATGTCATGCATCATGGGACTTCATCTTGCCTATGCTATTAAGTTGGTCCATAACTAATGCAAAGAGATCAGGGTTTAAAAATATTGCTTTTACGAATGACTTTCATGAATAAGAGTTAAGGTTCCAACAATATTTTTATAGCGAAGAGTGAAACAATGACTAAACTGTAGGAATTGACTACAATCATCTCGAGTAAACTACAAATGACCCACTCTCTATATCTTCAGTTAACACTTAACACCACCCCCCCCCCCCCCCCCAAAAAAAAAAAAAAAAAACATATATTGGCATTTAGCAATCCAGCAATTCTCCATTTTCTAAAAGATAAATTGCGAGTTATGCTCCTCTTCCTCATGAATCGAAGGAAGGCTAACCTAGATGCACGGATACGACACGGACGACGGATACGGGATACGGCAAAATCCAAAAAATAAGCATACGGGGATACGCACGAAGGATTTTTTTAACATTATTATTATATTATTAGTGCGAAACGTATTACGCAAATCTCGATTTAGTATAATGAGTAACTTTCTCCATCGCATTTATGATAATAAGTATGATGTTGCCGGCTTGCTTTAACTCGAACTCAAAAAACCGAAGGAGATGATGATGTCATCGGGTGCGTTGAATGCTGGACGGGGAGAAGGAATTGGAGGCGTTGGTACTTTAAGAGTCGGAGGAAGCGAGAGTCATTCGGCGGGCACTCAGGTCAGAACAGCGGAGCGCCGTCGGCAGGATCGGGTCGCGACACGCGAGCGTAATCAAATCGAACGGCGAGTGCAGCTGAGAGATTGAGAGGAGAGGCATTAGGGTTTAGCGTGTTTTCTTTTTTGTCTTTTCGTTCTGAGTCAGCTGCAGGATCGAATCGAACGGGAGATTTTGAGAAATAGGGGTGGCCGTTTTTTAATCGACGCGTTCGGGTTGGATTTTTTAACAACCAAACCCACAACCGAATGAATCGGCCCTTCGGCGAATCTGAAGCCGCGTCGAGCTCCTTTTGACCGCTGCTTCCGAGCCTAATTTTGACGTTGACTCGCTGTCCGGGCACGGACAGTCGTGCCCGACACGCTGCTCGTGACGAATCTAGGTGTGTTTCTTTGTATTTGATTCGAGTCGAGACACGGCATTCGTCTGGCCTCGAGGGCTCAAATCCGCCTGCTTCAGCAGATCTAAACTGCCTGCATACATATTACCTTTGAAAATTGTAGCCCTGGATAGCATTAAAGGTAGGCCTCGCCTACGTCAAAATAAAAAAAAAAAAATACAAAAAAAAATAAAAAATAATAAAAATAATAAAAAAAATAATAAAAAAATAATAAAAATAAAAAAAAAACAGATAAAATCAATAATAAAAAATAAACAAATAATAAATGTCGACAAAAGAAATCAAAAAAAAAAAAAAAAAAACAAACAAATATAAATCCATGTAAATAAAATAAAAAAAAATAAATAAAAAATAAAAATAAAATTAAAAAAAAAAACAGTTCCTAAGTCACATTAAGAAAAAAATACAAATAAAAAAAAAGAAATAAAAAAAAATAAAATAAAAAATATAATAAAAAATAGGCAGAGCGACAATAAAAAAAAAAAAAAACAAATAAAACCTGCCGAACATTATATAAAAAAATATAAAATCTTAAAAAAATTAAAAATAGAAGAATCAACTAATATAAAAAAAAAAAAATAATAGCTGTATTAAAAATAAAAAAAATAAAACAAAATAAAAATACTACAGCGATCGTCCGTTGCTGGTGTCCTTAAACTAAAAAAGAAGAAAATATAAAAATAGATAAAAAAAAAATAAGAATATAAAATACAAAAAAAAAAAAATAAAATAAAAAAAAATATAAATATATGAAAAAAAATTTCCGACATTAAGAAAAAGAAATAGAAAAAAAGCCCAAAAAAAAAAAAAAATAAAAAAAAAAAAAAAATACAAGGGAAAAATAAAAAAAAATATAAATAAAAAATAAATAAAAAAAAAAAAAGATCCATAAATAATAAAATATAAAAATTTAATAACAACAAATAAATATATAAAAAATAATAAAATAATAAATATAATATAAGAAAACAAATAAAGGATAAAAAAATAAAAAAAAAAATAATTAAAAAGAAAAAAAAAAATTATAAAATAAAAAAAAATAATTATAATAAAAGAAATAGATTAAAAAAAAAAATAAAAAATATAAAAAGAAAAATAAATTAATAAAACAAAATAAAAAAATAAAAAAAAAAAAAATAAAAAAATAAATAAAAAAATAAAATAATAAAAAATAATAAAAAAATATAAAAATAAAAAAGAAAAAAGTTCCTAAAATAAAATAAAAAAAATAAAATAACAAATAAACCGATAAAAAAAAGATAAATAAGATTAAATAACAAATAAAAATAATCAAATTAAAAAAAATACAAAAAAAAAAAAAAAAAAAAAAGCTAAAATTAAAAATAACAAAAAAAAACAAAAAATAAAAAAAAAATAGAAAAAAAAAAATAAAAAAAAAATAGAGATATAAAAACAAAAATAAAGAGATAAAAAAAACTAAAAATAATGTAAAAAAGAAAAGTCCGGAAAAATAAATGAAATAAAAAAATTAAAGTAGAAAAATATAAAAAACAAAAAATAAAAAATATAAAAGACGGACGGGAAAATAAATAAAAAAAATAATAATAAAAATAAAAAAAATAAAAAATGAACTACAAAACATAATAAAACAACTAAAAAAAAAATAAAAAGAAAAAATAAAATGAAAATAAATAATGAAAAAAAAAAAAAAAAAAAATAAATGAAGAAATGATAAAAAAATAACACGCTAGAACAAAAAAAAAAAAAAAAAGAAAATAAATAAAGAATAAATGAAAATAAAATAAACAAAACGAACATAAAAACAAAAATAATAATAAAAATAAGAATAAAATAAAAAAAAAATAAAAATAAAATAATAAAAATATAAAAACAAAATAAAAATAATAAAAAATAATACAAAAAAAAAAAGAGCGATAAAGATCTCTATAAAGCAAAATAAAAAATAATATAAAACCTAAACAAATAAAAAAAAAAAAATAAAATAAATAAAAAAATAAAATAAAAAAATATAAAAAATAAAAAAAAAAAAAAAAAAATAAAAACGAGAAATAAAAAAAAAAGAGAATAAAATATAAAATTAAGGAATAAAAAAAATAAATAAAAAACAAATAAACAAAAATCAAAATAAAAAATAAAAAACGTTCACGAATTTAATGCAACTGAAAGTATAGATGAGGCGGTTTGTGCACAATATACACAATCATCTTCAAGAAACTTTAAGGCCATCTACTAAGGTAAAAAGCAAAAGAAAAGAAACATACCCAGCAGGCAAGCCGCTTTGCTGCAGCAGCACAATAACCACTGTCAATAATACTAAACAATGACCGACCACCGGGCATTAAACGGTTATAATTGGGCATAACAACAGCCGCCTCCAGCTGCTGCAATATGCTGGGCTCACTCGGGGCACAATGCTGCCCCAATGATTCTTTGGCCAGCACATCGCCACATATAGAGAGGCTTGACATCAACATCGAGCTGTTCTGGCACGTGTAGCCTGCATAATCGGAACATCGGAACTCGCACACACCATTGTCACAGACCCCACCGTGCAAACTGCACTGCTCGTCGCAAATTGCTGCAAAAATGAGAGGCACAACTTAGTTATTTTTTGTTCAATGTGCTTTGAAATTCCTCTTCCCTTTCTGGAAAAGAATGGTAAACTTCATAAAAGCTGCATAAAGTTCGGACCAATTTGAGTAACCCCCCAAGAGTTATGTAAATGACACTTAACCCCCAAACTTTTCAGCCTTCCACAAAATCCCCACAATGTTTGAAATTCTTTCAACATGTCTGGGGGGTTTTCTGCAACTTTATTAAAAGTTCATGGGGGTTTTCAGAAAATGTTGAAAGTTTGAGATTTTTTAACATAATGTTGAAACTTGAAAATTTGGGTATTGTTTGAAAATAATGTTAAAAGTTAGGGGGTATGTTAAAAAAATGGTGGTTACACAGTTTGAGGGAAGTTAAAAAACTTCAAACGTTATGGGGGTCTGGTGGATGGACCAAAATTCTAGGGGTTTAGTTTAAAATTTGTTGGGGTTATCTCTAAATGGGCAAACTCTTTTGAGGGTTTTGTGAACTTTGCTTGAATAAGTAAAATAGGAAGAAACCAAGAGAACTTTGAGCAATACTTCTCTTTTGGATCACCGAAAATTACACTATTGAAAGGTAGTAAAAAGCTAAAGCACAGTAGTTTTTGCATATGTTAGTCCTTTCAATTGCAGTCAATTTGCATATAACTTGAGAAGAAAATGGTGTTCTACATGGGCATGGGCATGTCACGCACAAAATTTGAAAAGATAGGGTATGGGAACACAAATACTACATATATCATATATATTATTTACAAAATGTGATATTTAGAAGTTCTCCAAATTAAGTCGTAGAATTCCAAATTCTATGACAACACAAAATACTCTAAAACAAAATTAAAACAGAAAGACGAACGTTAATGATGAAGAGTTCACTACTTTATAGTTATTGACTAACTCAGTAACAATCTAAATAAATTAAGTCTCACGGAACCAAGTAGAGAAATAGAGTAAATCTGTGTCTTGAAAAGAAAAATCATTTGTTGGGATTTCAACTGTACCTGTGGAGCAGTCAACACCAGTTCGGCCATTTTCACACGCACAGATCCCATTTGGCTGGCATTTACCACGTCCACTGCAATTGTTGGGGCAGGAGCCTGTGGATGAGAAAAATAGGCCTTACTGTAAAGAGTACATACAGTAAATGCCATAATTTTGTAAAGGGTTAATTGCAGATAGACCGCTATACCATCATTTAGTTGTGGATGGACCCCCTGTAGTTCTACTGTTGCAGACACAACCCTGATTTTGTTTTACTCTTTTACCCTCAGTGAAAGGGGAAACTGTTTTTTGACAAATAGACCTCCCAAGGGTAAAAGAGTCAAAAAATTCCCTAAGTGGGTCCATGTGCAATAATAGAACTACAGGGGTCTATCCGCAATTAGGCCTTAGTAGAGGTGGTCTATCCACAATTAACCCTTTTGTAAATCTATTAAGTAGGAAACGTTACATTCTAAAAATTAAACAAAGACTAAGGTTTTTTAAAATTTGAGTTTAACAAGATTATCCATTTTTTCAGTGCTTACAAATGTCAAATGTCACACAATGGACGAAGCATCATGTTACGACCTTATAAAATAAATTAGATTTTCTATGCATGATAGTTTTAAGAGATTCATGCAATTCACAAAAAAAGAAAAAGAAAATGCTATCTTGAATTTTTTTTTTTCTATTTTTTCTTTAATCAACAATGAGCATCTGTTGAGTTGGGCACCTCAAAAGCTATGGATGACATTGTAATGGCATCGCCCCACTCAAAACGACCCTATTATCAGGTACATAAAACGACTACAGATACTACTAAAAATTTGTCGAACTTTCACTTCCATGCAATGGGATAACAGCAGATACGGGGAAAAAAGAAGGAATGAACATTGGCACAGTTGTTTGTGGGCATCAAGAAGCAACAAGATTTAAACATCTTAAAAGCAAATGCAGGATCTAACAAGACAAATCAGAGATAGAAAGGGGTACTCACGCTTGCTACAGTCATGGCCTTTAAAACCAAGAAAACAGCGACAGCTTCCTTCAACACAGTCGCCATTGAAGGTACAAGAATTTGGACACTGCCCATTTCCAGGCACAGGTGCAACACTGCATAATTCATGATATGCTGGGCAAATTAGTTCACCTACAGCATAAGAGAGTTTATTAGCACATAAGTTCCCAGCTATGATCTCATAAAATCATCAAGTAATGCATGGAAACCTACCATTAAAGCCAGGGAACTGAACAGGACCACCTGCTTCTGGACAAGTTTTCCAGATACCATCAACTGCAACCTGGACAACAATAAAGAAATAATTTCTATTTTATCCTGTAGGCGAGTATTAGGCTAATTGACAGCAGATCATGTCATGAGCTAACGCATACTTTTCTTAATTACCACGCTGATGCCTACATCTTTTAAAAGTTACAAGCGCCTTCAAATATACACATGTAAAAAGATATACATATATACATAACAATATTACTCGAGATAAGCTAAAGCAAAATGAGTTACCTAGATAGAACACTGGTAACATCTACCTAGTTCGATGTCAGTAGGGTGCACATTACAACTATTCTATCTCTTCGTAGCTCATTTAGCAAAATGAACTACCACCTCATACACATTTTTTCATACATATGTACACACATTTATATAGAGCAAAAAGCTCAACGACTTAACTAGATTGAGGGCTTTGTACACCAGCTTGTTTTATCCCTTGGGCTTTGAGATGTGTGCTACTGTGTGATAACCATCATGGCACGCATCTGAAACATAGCTTTCATGTTTATCACATATCAACACGCATCTCAAAGAAAATCCAAGGGTTAGAAAAGCTGGTGAACAGAGCCCTCAAAGTATGAAAAGAGAGAGGGATGGGGGATTGACCTTGAGAGTAAATATCCCTTATTCGAAGTATCCATATATTTGAATCAATAGGTATTGATTTAATCTTGAAATGAAGGCAAAAGGTAACAGACACAATTTCAAATGGAAATGTAAAATCATGCAGTGAAGAAATAAGCTATCAAGCAAAGCCTCAGACATACAGATATCATAGAACCACAAGTACCTCTAAAGTGTTATTCAAGCACCGATGTTGATAGCAACCATTTCCTTGAGTCATTGATCCTCTAACAAACCCAGCGCGCACCAATGATGAAGCCATACACCTGAATACAAAATAACATTACATACCATATACTGAAAGCCACACCAAAAGCAAGCATCTTTTAGAAAATTAATAACACTACAAAAGAAATAAAAGTAATAAAAAATCTTTTATATTGTTAGAGGGTCATTAGGTAGAGAATGATTAAGACAATTAAAGAAATAACAGGATATGCTCACAAACATGTTCTCAGTTGTTAGCTCACCTAGAATTGCTTCCTCTCACTTCACCCAACATTCTGTCGGGTGTACGAACACTATTTGTGTCTGTGCATGAACCATCAGAGTATGCTACAAAATACGTGCAATAATCAGCCAAAGATGACTGCCCACCTGTACCAATAAAATAAATTAAAAAAACCAATCAAAAAAATACAGCATGTGTTATTCAACATCATTTTCTAATACCCCAATTTATTTCGGACCCAAATGCATGGGACCTATTATAAGACAGGTAATGTGTCTCATGGTAGCCATTGATTGTGATTTGATTCCCAAGAAAATGACGCGTGACACCTTATCCCATGATTGGTCCCACGAATTTTGGGTCCAAGAAGTACTCTTTTTAATATGTAATTGCTAAATATATTAAATAGAAGCTTTGTCACAACTCTAGCACTTAAAACTATATAGATAGGAGAACACACCTTTGTTGGCCTGAGGAAAATACCGAGCCCATTGTGGCAGATCGCCACTATAGCTCACAATAGGACAATATCCTTCTGCCTCTCTATTATACGTACAGCCAGACAACTGAGTGGTATTGCAACGGTAAGCACCCTTCCAAAGACTACAAGGAGAGGTAACAAACTCAGTTCCTTGATTTCTGCCCCAATCAAGATGCTCTGCCATGCTGTAATTAGCCCGATACCATCCGCTGTCCTCCAATAGAGCCAAGGTCATTTTTGATACCACTGATCGTGTATCAACTGATCCAGTCATGATTTCATTCATTAATAGCCTTTTTTCCCAATGTGAACCTGCACATGAAAGGTATCACGTATTAGTGATAGAGCATAAATATTGAGGGACAATATCAGTTATATAATAGACAAAAGCTATGTACCTGATGTACCACGCCCACCTCCATCTTCCAACTCTAAGCCGGTAAAATTTTCAGAAAAAGCCTGAACACAAATCAGATTAACCAAGTATATACCATATTAAAACAGTTGTAAATGAAAACCCTAATTCATTATGAGATCTCTTGGGCTTTATATAGGCCCCTTACACAACTTACAAATAAGTCCTAATAAATACTAATATGTCAACACTCCTCCTCAAGATGGGCGAAAGATATCTACTAAGCCCATCTTATCACATCCTCTAATCATATCTACTGAGCTAAGTCCTTTAGTCAGACAATCTGCTGCCTGGTCCTTAGTCGAAACATGACTTAGCTCCAGTAGTCCACTATCCAACTTCTCTTTGATGAAGAACCTATCGATCTCGATGTGTTTGGTTCTATCATGCTGCACTGGGTTGTTGTTCATTCTTCCTGAAGATTAGCCCTTTTCCGGGGGCATTATTCAAATACCTTAGAATCTGGTACACCCGTCCATGTGACCCTTCCTTGGATCATGCATGTAGCGACTCACCACGCTCACTGCAAAAGAGATATCGGAACGTGTGTAACACAGATCAACCTGCCTACCAGCCTTTGGTATCTGTCACGATCAACTGGTTCTCCAGCTTCAGCACCCAGCTTAAACTTCTAGTCGATCGGTGTAGTTGCAGGTTTGCATCCTAACATTCCTGTTTCTTTGAGAAGATCAAGTGCATACTTTCTCTGGGATAGGACAATCCCCTCCGCTCCTCGAGCTATCTCTATTCCAAGAAAGTATCGAAGCAAGCCAAGATCTTTCACCTCGAATTCCTTACCCAGTCTCACTTTGAGTTGGGCAATCTCCTTCTCATCATCCCCTGTAATAATCATATCATCCACATATACCGCCAGCATGGTAATGTGGCCTCCACTTCGTCGAAAGAATCATCATCCCCTGTAATAATCATATCATCCACATATACTGCAAGCAAGGTGATGTGACCTCCACTTCTTCGAAAGAACATGGTATGGTCGGCGCTGATCTGCTGGTACCCCATACCAATCATAGCCCTCCTGAATCTATCAAACCAAGCACGAGGAGACTGCTTTAGCCCATAGAGAGACTTTTTCAATCTGCAGACCTTTCCCACTGTCTGATCTGTACCGAATCCTGGTGGTATCTCTATATATACCCCATCCACTAGATCTTCATGAAGAAATGCATTTTTCACATCTAGTTGGTGTAGCTTCCATCCACCATTTACTGCCAGAGAAATTAAGGTCCGAACAGTGCTCATCTTTGCCACCGGTGCAAAAGTCTCATCGTAGTCGATACCATATGTCTGACTATATCCTTTTGCCACCAGACGAGCTTTGTAGCGCTCAACCTGTCCATCTGGATTCTGCTTCACAGTGAAGACCCACTTGCATCCAACTGCTCTCTTCCCTTTTGGTAGTTTTACTAACTCCCAAGTGCGGTTCTTCTCAAGGGCCCTTAGCTCTTCGTGCATAGCAGCTTTCCATTTCTGGTCCTTCTTTGCAACCTGCCAATTGTTAGGTATAGTAACAGAGTCCAGTGATGAAATGAATGCTCCATGTGCAGGGTGGATGTTAGAATATGATACAAATTGAGCAAGATCCCAACCATATCTATCGGGAGGATTTCCCGCATTACTGCGAGTAGTCCTCCGTACAGTTATTGGTGTGGGATGAGTAGGAAGAGGAATGGAATCACATTGAGAGGAATCTGGTGGTGTAGGTGTCTCAGGAGTCGGGGCAGGCGTTAGCAAGGGACTTGGCACCAGTGGCACTGTAGGTACTGTTCCCGCAATTTGTTTCCCCTTCCTACTATAGGTAAGTAGTTCCCCCTGAGCCGTTGGTCTAACACCTCTTGTCTCATTCTCCTCTTCTTCTTCATTCTCTTGCTCCTCCTCAACCAAGTCTCCTTCCCAAGGAATCATTACAGAAATTGATTTTTCTGATCTCTCACCATTCTCAGACATTGATTTCTCCATATTTACCAATCTCTCACCATTCTCCTCCTCTCGCCGCATACTTCCAGTATTAGGCGAGTTATCAACGGATGAAGTTACCTTCCGGGTGTAATATGGCTCGAGTTCTCGACATTATCTCCCTTCAATATCTCACACGGAGACTTCCAATCCAACACTCTCGAGGGCATTCTGTTGATCAACGCTGCTGCGGTCAATACTGCTTGCCCCCATAATGTTTCTGGGACATTCATAGAGATCATCATGCTTCTAGCAACCTCTAAAAGATGTCTGTTCTTCCTTTCTGCTACCCCATTCTGGGCTGATGTGTATGGACAGGTTGTCTGGTGATGTATTCCTTGAGCTGACAAATATTCTTCAAAGACTCTGTTGGTATACTCTGTCCCATTATCTGACCTCAATACTTTCACCACTGCTCCGTATTGAGTCTGAACGGTCCTATGAAAATTTTGGAAGCACCCAAACACATCACTCTTATTCTTCATCAGATATAACCAAGTAACACGAGAGAATCAATCAATAAATGTAACAAAATACTTGTATCCATTCATAGAACTTGTGGAACAAGGCCCCCAAACATCTGAATGTACCAAGTCAAATGCATGAGAACTTCTATGACCAGAACTAACATAAGAGCTTCTAGTAAGCTTTCCAAACTCACATGCATCACACACAAGTTTCTGTTTATTTGCTTTCTCAAATAAAGAAGGATACAATCTACCTAAAACACTAAAGGATGAGTGTCCCAAACGCTGGTGATGAAGCATTAACTCATTTTCAGCACTCATTTTAGATCCTACTGCTTCCTCTATGACTGACATCAATGCTGAATCCAGTCCTTCACGATCCAGATACCACAGTCCACTACGCCATGTGCCAGTCCCAAGTCTCCGCCCTGTCCCCTTCTTATGGAAAATCACCTTGGGAATATCAAAAGAAACAATGCATTTTAGTTGGAGGATGATAGAACTAATGGACAAAAGATTGACTGGAAATGAAGGAGCATGCAGAACATTGGACAAAGTTACAGAACCAGTGCAATCGATTGTACCCTTACCAACCACCGGCTGAAATATACCATCAGCTGTTTGAATACTATCAGGTGATGCTAAGTGAGTATATGATGAGAACTCACTAGCATTACCTGTCACATGCCGAGACGCACCGGAGTCGACTATCCACATCAGTACCTTTGGTCGGATGAGCATAGGTAGCAGTATTGCCTCTGGCGAAGAACGAAGTGGATGCCTCCTCAGTCCCACTCCTCAAGTCTCCATCCCCTGCTACTTGCTGCTTCCTCCTGAGTATCGCCAGGAGAGCACGATCCTCCTCAGTAAAGACCGCCTCAGCTTCTTCTTCTTCTGCTACCGTCAGATTCGCCCGATTCCCTGCTCCTCTTTCACCTCGTCGACCCCCATGGCCACGACCACGATCGGGGAACTGTCCACGTCCACCCGAATCTCCTTCCTTGGGTGGTTTGATACACGCATGCCTTAGATGACCCACCGCACCGCAGTTGTAGCACTGTCGAGTCTCTCCCCCAGATCCAGTATTGCTAGAGGCTGCCAGTGCTGACTTCACCACCGGAAGTCCACCTGTCCCCGCCTGCAGCCGAATGCGAGTCTCCTCCTGGATCATGGCAGAAACAACCTCCTCAAGCGTGAGAATTTTCGGCTGAGCTAGCAGTAATGCAATTCGCTGAGTGAACTCTGATGTCAATCCCTTGAGAAACACCATAGTCCTCTCCTGTAGAAAGGCCTCCCGCTCTTTACATCCTGGGTCCTTGCAGCTAGCCCGGGGGAAAAAATGATCATAGTCCAGTCATAGGCGCTCCAGCTCTGTAGCATATTTCTGTACAGTCCTCTCTCCCTGGACTGTGGTGTCGATCTCTCCTTTAATCTGGAACACCCTCAGGTTATTCCCCACCCCATCATATGTTCTCCTCAACTTCTCCCAGACGTCCTTCACCTTCTCAATGCCATCCACCGTGGCGGCGATCGTCGGGACCAGCGAGTTGAGAAGCCAGATGTACACCAACATATGAGTGGACTTCCACTCATCTCGTCCTCCCGAGTCCTCATCCGGTTCTGTCTTCTCTCCGGTCAAGTAACCCTCCAGGTTCCTCCCTGCAAGGGTGTATCTCACCCGTCGTGACCAACTCAGGTAGGTACTCGGTCCATCAAGCTTCAGATCGATGGTCGGAAGCTCTAACTTCTTCGATGGTCTTGTCGCGCTTTCATCAGCCGACAACTTCATCAACTTCATCAAAGTTGACACCTCCGCAGGGTTCAACTTCTTGATAATCTCCTCCATCGATCAAGCTTCAGATCCAACATCTGTTCACCTTTTTCTTCAAACCCTTGTTGTGCGCAGTGAAAATTTCGGCAACACTTCTGCTGCACAACAAGAGTAAGATCTCAAACGAATTCTCGTTTCTCAGAGGAAACTAGAATAAAAAACAGTTATATATCTCATCGATGTGAGATATATACTCTTCCTGTCATCAGTTCGAGGACTGAGTCGAGGGAACCCATGCCAAACTCCTAGGCTCGCATGGTGCAAAGGGGTACGTGCCGGTGGCTTGGCAGCTGGCGTAGAGGGGGGGGTTTGGAGGGTGTTCGGGTGTGGTGAGGGGTTCGGGTCTGTGGTATGGTTCGGTGGGATTTATGGGATTAGGGTTCAAAAGCGGCGTTCAATGCTGCCAGCCCAGGCTTTTCGGGTGTTTGGCCAGCAGTTCGTCAAGGTTTCGAGTGGTTTGGCATAGCGGGTTTTTTTTTTTCGGCGGGGTTGCTGCGGAGTGTTTGCAACGGCGTTTTCAGCGTTGACGTCTTGGCAGTGGTTTCAGCTGGGCAGCGAAATGGAGATCAGGTGCGGGGGCGTCGTGTTAGCGCAGCGGCCTCTCGCGAAGAGGCGAGCGCGTGTGGCAGCGGGAGGTTCGGTGCCGTCGAAACAGGGCCGTCGGAACATAAGGGGAAAACAGGAAGGAGGGGGCTGGTCTGCAGAGGCGGACAAGAACAGGAAAGGGGGTCTGATCGGGCGAAGAACAGGGCGGGCCGGAGTGAAGAGGGGCAGGAGGGGTGGGCGGCGGCGCTAGGGTTAGTTTTTTTTTGTGGAGGCTCTGATACCAAGTTGTAAATGAAAACCCTAATTCATTATGAGATCTCTTGGGCTTTATATAGGCCCCTTACACAACTTACAAATAAGTCCTAATAAATACTAATATGTCAACAAAAACACATGGTAATTTATCAAAAGGTTTTGACTTGGAAAAGATGAAATTTAAAATTTACCCCATAGTGATGCCTTGAGTGCATAACAACACGAGGAAGGACGACACGGGTAACCATTCGACCAAGCTTGTCATCCATAGCTTGTAAAGTAACCTGCACAATGTAGTAAATGTGTATCAGAAGTCATTTCTAGTGCCTCAAAGAAAGTAATCTACTTATCAAAGCTTAGTCGCGTGAACAAAAAAAAAGCTCATAAATGCAATAATAGTTAACAAAATTATCTTACAATCGGTCATAGTCTCTGCTGGCTAAACCATATTTTTAGCATGAACTAAAACCAATGTCACATTAACACAAAATTAACAGATCACAGAACAAAAACCCATACCTTCTCTGAGCTAGTGATATGTTTTAATCATATTTGATCTGCATGTTACTCATCACAAAGAGCTCACAATAATTCCACATTCACAGCCTCTAATTAATCTTTTATTTGCTTTTCGTCCAGAGACACAAAGAGCTCACAATAATTCCACATTCACAGCCTCTAATTAATCTTTTATTTGCTTTTCGTCCAGAGAAGTATTAATTTAGTTAGTAAAGAACATTCACAGCCTCTAATTAATCTTTTATTTGCTTTTCGTCCAGAGAAGTATTAATTTAGTTAGTAAAGAATAGTGAGCCAACTCCTTACACACCCTATGAAAAAATCTGTCTGTACAATCAATGTTTCAAAAACCTAGTCTATAATCAGAGCATTTGGTTGGAGTTCATTTGACAATCAAATTTGACAGACTTTTTCATATTTTGTCACCATAACTCCTGATACCATAACCTCTAGATGATAACATCAATAAAGGACTCCTTGTATAGCAATCTGCTCCCTTACCCAAAGCAGATAAAAAAAACCCTACCATTTATCAAAAGAGAATTAGACAAAATGATTTTGCACTGCTGTCAATAGGATCTAATTGGGAAATAAATGGAGTAGAGTACAACTTTGAAAGAGTACCAAAAGTGGAAGCACGATAACTATACAAACAGCTTTAAAACAGGCCTAAGTGAATAGACTGTAGCACAGACATTCTAATTTGAAGTTGTGTCTGAAGACAAAAAACCCCCATGTTCACCATTCTTTATATTATTTTAGGATTGGTGTGATGTGCTCATGTCAGTGTGACTATGCATCTTAGCAAATAAGATAATGAGACAAATAGACTCAATTCAATCATATTGTTTGCTCGTAGTTTAGGCATATGCTGTAAAACAGACTGAAGATAGAAATACCCCATGGGAAATCCTAGTGTTAAAGGACACTCTTGCTACACCAAAACTCATTCTGATGAGGGTTGTAGTTTAAAACTCTAAATGCCTGCAGGTTGAGCACCCTTTCAATGGGCCGAAACCTGCACTCAGACAGCGGTATCTTTTTTAATCTGCTTTAAATCTGTGACCAATAGGAATTGAACCTGTGTTGCCCTATTACCATGTCAAAGGACCTTTCCATTGAACCCAAACTCTGAAGTTGTAGTGAGGATTAAGACGTAAGATGTTGTAGTTTTATATTCTAACACCTTGAATTTTGTTCCTGTATGGAAATATGCATCTGCATGAGGTTGCACATATGATTCCAACTCAAGCTATTTCTCTCACACAAATGAGCAACTTCGAAACTTGGACAATGAATAAGATGTGTACCATATACCACAAGCATAACTCTAGTCAGCTTAACCAGATGAACAGATGAACAGACACAGTCTTCACTCCCATTTTAGGTGTGAATGAAAGCAGATCGAATGAGGATACAAGTTTTACCTAAATATAAAGTATTAATAATAGTTTAAAATTGGTTTAAAGAGTAAACTGAAACCCAACAACTACAGAGCACAGAATACTACCTGGCTACGCCTTCTTTTCCTTTCATCACGAAAATGTGCGAAGGCATGTGGATCAAAACCTAAAACATGCATGACCTGCCAAAAAAGGGTCTCATCAGCCATAATGTGTAACAATATTGATATAAAGATCCTATTAGCGAATTCCGCACCTCATGTATCAAAGTAGCTGAAAGTAATGTTTCTGCTTCGGCTGTCAAATGACGAGGGGCAACATTTACATGTCCTAAACATACATCAAGATAAGGTACATCATAGTTCGGCAAAATAGAACATGGAAATGGTAGCTAAAAAGGGTTCTAATTGGATATATATATATATATATACCGGCAATAGCACGACCCCATTGATCGCGCTCACATGCCACTGCCCATGCAAGCGTGTTCCCTGTAGTAGGTCTAGTGGTTACTAACAGAACCAGGTCAGCTTCAGCAACACCATCTGCACAAAGAAAGTTTATTATGGAGCCATTCCTATTAAGAACATGCTCAAATAAAATAAGAGCAATTAGCAACAAATACCTTCAACATATTCATGAGGAAGTTGTACCCCACCATCCTGACCACATGCAGAATACCCACTCAGTCGCAAGTTACCCTTGACTGGTTCAACAGCCAAAGCTCTTTTGAACCAATCTGCAGTTTGTTCCAATGCCTGCTCAAGAATTGATATAGCATATATCATTTCAGTAACTATGCATATCTCACATTACAGTAATAAGAAGAAGAAAGTTTCTTGACACTGTGCAAGAATATTATAGCACAATTACAAGTCCGAATACGATACTTGCACTTTAAAGTTATACGGGAGGCTTATCTGCATAGAAAGAAAAACATTAAAAAAATATGCCAAATTAAATTAAATTTGTATCAAAGATAACCTTGCGAAGGCGTTGCTTTTTATCTTCCCCAGATATGTCTTCGACCGTACAGTTATACCAGCAGTCTCCAAAAACCGGAGGCTCCCCATGAGGATCACACACGGGGGTTTCAGGAACAGAAGATGCAGGAGGCTCACCAAGCTAAAAATTATACAATTTGTCAAGAAGAATCAATCTTAAAAAACTGCATAAAATCACATAGATTATTGCATTGACACAGACCTTGACGATATCCCCAACATTATTGCAATCTCTATCAGCTGAATGTCCAACAGCATCATAATTTAGAAATATCCTAATTGGTTCCTTTACATCCTTTGCAGGCAACAATGGTGATGAAATTGAAAGCAATGCCCTCCCTCTTTGGTGTTTGGATCTTAATGAGTCGGACTCCTTATAAACTTGTGGGGTAACTGAGTACTGCTTGCGACCAGGACGCCGCCGTTGATGGAGTATCTCATCATGGATGCACGAGTGCGATAAATAATTATCTTTTCCTCCGGCTTCAATACTTTGCAACGGCAATGACGCGTCCTCTTCAGATATTACATTATTTCCTCTAGTCCCAATAATAAGAAGCATAATCTAAAGATGAAGGGAGAACGGAAAACAATTAAATAACTAGACAATTAACAAAGGGTAGCAAGAACACAGCAAAGATTCTAATATGAGTTTTTTGTCATCAAAGATACATATATACAATATGGTGAGATCCTTTTGAACAGATTAATATTAGACAACAACTGGTGATTTAATAGTCTAGAGAGAAACTGAGAAATGCTCATAAGAATATCAGAATATCAACATGACATCGGAAAATAAAACCCAAAAGGTAAGAAAATGTAATAAACCCATTTGAAACTAGATGAGCTGAAAATAGATAAATGTGATACATCCCCACTGAAATCCCCCAATAGAATTGCAACACTTCAGTTGATAATTTCATCTCAACAGCAAAAATTAGGGCTTGTGCTAAGAAACTCAACATCAGGGATCCAACGGACAAAGAAATATTTTCCCAAAAACCCCAAAAGAAGAACGATTTGAAGTTCAGACCACCAACAGACAGCTCATAGCCAAAGAGGAAACTTTTCCTCCCCATTATTGCATTCAGTTACCAGGAAATCAAATCCAAACAAACTATCATTAAACCCTTATTACAAAAAACTACCAAATCTCACCAATTACAACTAACAAAACCCAGAATAACAAACAAAAATACTAGTTTGAAGAGATCAAAAAGTGTAACAAACCTGAAATCCGACCAAAAGGAGACGAGCCCAGAAAGGGAATGCAGAGGCCAACCAAACCCCAGATCGCCCATAGGCTCTCTCCTCCTCCATCAAAACCCCATTAAAAACTCACTGAAGCCTCTCTCTCATATCCCCCTTTAATCTCAACCAAGTTAGCTCCTTTCCTGTTCCCCCTTTCTCCAATGCCCCGCGATTTAATTGGGTAGTCGCCAAAATCGCAACTTAATGGTTGAATTCCTATAATTTACTAGTGGAAGCTGAAGCGGTTGGGATTTTTTCGCTATTTGGGAGGAGAAAATCTAGCAGTCGTTTTTGTCTGCGACTGCTCCA